AATATACCCTAAAGAGACCATAAATGACATCCAAGTAGATATATGCATACCCATGTTTATCGCGGCTTTGTTTACAATAGCAAGGAGTTGGAAACTTTCAGTTCCTTTGCTTGTGCCCTCCCATAGTAACAGAATGCTTCATTTTTATGATGGCAGTGTTGTATGTTGCCGTCATGAATTCCAGCTTATGATGACTTTATATATATATAAAAAAATATTGTTTGGGTTTGTGCTAACTTCAAGGTCATTGGTATGTCTTACGTCCACAGATAATAGTGTTTACTGATTTCATCACCCGTTTGTGGAAGGAAGCTTGTGTACTGTCACACTATGGTAGAGTGCATGTTGTAGGGATGCTGGACACTATGCCACCTCTTTGAAATACCACTGAGTCCCCTGTGGTGGACAAGTTTCACCAGAGCTTCCAGTAGATAGACTAGAAGGCCTTCTTTTCTACTTCTGAAAATTAGCTGGTGGAAACCCTGTGAGTCCCATCAGTGCTGTTCTGTTTCCTAGTGTAATGCTGGATGATGAGCCCCCGGAGCTGGAAAGCACTCTTGGTGGGTGGTGGCTGCAGTGCAGACTACAGTGTTCCGTGAGTTCTGAAAGTGACATAGGATGAGGAATCATTTTATTCTGTTACGCTTGGGCTAACTATAAATTGGAACTGACTTGACAGCAACTAATAACATCATTATTTGTTCCAGTAAAAGTTTGGAACATTTTATGTGAATAGTTAACATAGTCATTCTATATATTTAACATAATGTTATAACTTTTGACTGTATTTTTCATTTAACTTTAAAATATGAAAATGATAATTTCCAATAATCTTGTTTGTTTCAGGTAGATAATCCAGTTTCTGTTTTAACACAAGAGATGAGCAAACAGTTCTTGCAGTCCAAAAATGAAGGAGACAAATACAAAGTAAGGGCGCCAAAGTAAATATAAACATTTTAAAAAAGAATATAAAGTATAAATACCAGGCATTACTCTTATTCACATAATAGATACTGTGATTTTTTTGGTCCTTTTTTATTGGTTTTTATTCACTCTTTGGTTTATATATTTTTACATTCATTACAGTTGATCAGTGCCGTTTATTGCAACGTCTCTTCAAATCCTCAGTGGATCATGCCTTTTCCTTCACTCAATCTCTGTATCCCTCTCCTTCACCCCATCCCTGTCAGTACTCCATGATTGATTCTGTCTGAGTGTAAACCTTTCCTTAGCTCTCCCCTAATCAATCATGGTTGTCTTGTGCTGTATCATTAAATATGACATGTAATGCCTGTTTGTTCATTCCACGTTGTTCTTCCCTTCATTTATTCTGATGCAGTGTTAGATATTGTGATTTTTTTTAAAAGCTACCAACTTAGTAGTATCATAAAACCAAATTAGAAAGTTGTTCAAGTTTTATGAAAGTATCATTTTCTTGGTAAATACTTTTGAGTTATTTTCTGAAGTTTAAGGAAATAAAAGAGTATTTGACTCTTTATGCATTATAATTTTTAAGCTACTAAAAAAAGCACATAAAATACTTGATTATTCTTAAAATTTATTTGTGTAACCTTCTAAATAGGTTTTACTATTTCATATTCTAAAAAGATGTGCTATAAAATCAAATATGCATTTGTTGTCATTTTATCCTAAAGAATGGAAGACTCAATGAAAAAATGATTTTCAGAATGGGACCTACCATGCAAGATGGTTTTGTATTGGTTTTCTAAGAGCTTTTGCAGTGAACATGTGAGTGTTCAGTTAACATTTCCGGTTAAGTAAACTAGCTCTGCAATAAAATAGGACATTCTCTCTTGTGCTTATTTACCTCGCTAATTATGTTTTAATTGGTTTTTCACATAATTAATCTGAATTGTTTTTTTTAGGTACCCAATTCCTTTACTTTAGTTTCATATGAGTTTAATAAACTGGTGTTTTTATTGTTGATTTAGTTCTTCATGAAAGCCACCCAGCTTGAACAGATGAAGGAAGATTACTCATATATCATGGAAACAAAAGAAAGAACAAAAGAGCAGATCAATCAGGGAGAAGAGGTTTGTACACAATTAATCTGAATAATTTTAATTTTATTTTTTATTGATATTTTAATGAAAGTTTACAAAAACTTGGATTTCCACT